TATAGTGTAGTGTATAGTGTAGTAGTGTAGTGTAGTAGTGTATAGTGTAGTGTAGTAGTGTATAGTGTAGTGTATAGTGTAGTGTATAGTGTAGTAGTGTATAGTGTAGTGTATAGTGTAGTGTAGTAGTGTATAGTGTAGTAGTGTATAGTGTAGTAGTGTGTAGTGTATAGTGTAGTAGTGTATAGTGTAGTAGTGTATAGTGTAGTGTATAGTGTAGTGTAGTAGTGTATAGTGTAGTAGTGTATAGTGTAGTAGTGTATAGTGTAGTGTAGTAGTGTATAGTGTAGTAGTGTATAGTGTAGTGTAGTAGTGTATAGTGTAGTGTAGTAGTGTATAGTGTAGTGTATAGTGTAGTGTATAGTGTATAGTGTAGTAATGTATAGTGTAGTAGTGTATAGTGTAATGTAGTAGTGTATAGTGTAATGTAGTAGTGTATAGTGTAGTAGTGTATAGTGTAGTAGTGTATAGTGTAGTGTAGTAGTGTATAGTGTAGTAGTGTATAGTGTAGTTTAGTAGTGTAGTGTAGTAGTGTATAGTGTAGTGTATAGTGTAGTGTATAGTGTAGTAGTGTGTAGTGTAGTAGTGTATAGTGTAGTAGTGTATAGTGTAGTAGTGTAGTGTAGTAGTGTATAGTGTAGTAGTGTATATTGTAGTAGTGTATAGTGTAGTAGTGTATAGTGTAGTAGTGTATAGTGTAGTGTATAGTGTAGTGTAGTGTATAGTGTAGTGTATAGTGTAGTAGTGTAGTGTAGTAGTGTATAGTGTAGTGTAGTAGTGTATAGTGTAGTGTATAGTGTAGTGTATAGTGTAGTAGTGTATAGTGTAGTGTATAGTGTAGTGTAGTAGTGTATAGTGTAGTAGTGTATAGTGTAGTGTATAGTGTAGTAGTGTATAGTGTAGTAGTGTATAGTGTAGTGTATAGTGTAGTGTATAGTGTAGTGTAGTAGTGTATAGTGTAGTAGTGTATAGTGTAGTGTAGTAGTGTATAGTGTAGTAGTGTATAGTGTAGTGTAGTAGTGTATAGTGTAGTGTAGTAGTGTATAGTGTAGTGTATAGTGTATAGTGTAGTAATGTATAGTGTAGTAGTGTATAGTGTAATGTAGTAGTGTATAGTGTAATGTAGTAGTGTAGTAGTGTATAGTGTAGTAGTGTATAGTGTAGTGTAGTAGTGTATAGTGTAGTAGTGTATAGTGTAGTGTAGTAGTGTATAGTGTAGTGTAGTAGTGTAGTGTATAGTGTAGTGTATAGTGTAGTGTAGTAGTGGTAACAGCACTTGCCCCTCAGACCCGTAGAGGCTATTTGGGCCACCTTTGTCTGCGTCTCTCCGCAGGCCACGTGAAGCTGACGGAGTGTAGTAGTGTATAGTGTAGTGTAGTAGTGTATAGTGTAGTAGTGTATAGTGTAGTAGTGTATAGTGTAGGAGTGTATAGTGTAGTAGTGTATAGTGTAGTGTATAGTGTAGTAGTGTATAGTGTAGTGGTGTATAGTGTAGTAGTGTATAGTGTAGTAGTGTATAGTGTAGTAGTGTATAGTGTAGTGGTGTATAGTGTAGTAGTGTATAGTGTAGTAGTGTGTAGTGTAGTAGTGTATAGTGTAGTGTATAGTGTAGTAGTGTATAGTGTAGTAGTGTATAGTGTAGTAGTGTATAGTGTATAGTGTAGTAGTGTATAGTGTAGTGGTAACAGCACTTGCCCCTCAGACCCGTAGAGGCCTCATGGGCCACCTTTGTCTGCGTCTCTCCGCAGGCCACGTGAAGCTGACGGAGTGTAGTAGTGTATAGTGTAGTGTAGTAGTGTATAGTGTAGTAGTGTATAGTGTAGTAGTGTATAGTGTAGTAGTGTATAGTGTAGTAGTGTATAGTTTAGTAGTGTATAGTGTAGTGTATAGTGTAGTAGTGTATAGTGTAGTAGTGTATAGTGTAGTGTAGTAGTGTATAGTGTAGTGTATAGTGTAGTGTATAGTGTAGTGTAGTAGTGGTAACAGCACTTGCCCCTCAGACCCGTAGAGGCTACTTGGGCCACCTTTGTCTGCGTCTCTCCGCAGGCCACGTGAAGCTGACCGACTTTGGGCTCTGCAAGGAATCCATCCATGACGGCAGCGTCACTCACACCTTCTGTGGCACCATAGAGTACATGTGAGGGTACACGCATGGCACACGCATGGCACACGCATGTTACACGCATGGCACACGCATGGCACACGCGGGACGCTTGTGAGAGTACACGCACGTTACACGCGCGTTGCACACGAGGTACACACATTTTACACAAACTGTTACACGCATGGTGCACACAAGCTACACGCATGTTACACACATGTCGCACACACGTTACACGCATGTTACACGCATGTTACACGCATGTCGCACACAAGTTGCACGCATGTTACACACATGTCACACACACGTTACACGCATGTTACACGCATGTTACACGCACGTCGCACACAAGTTGCGCGCATGTTACACACATGTCACACACAAGTCACACTCATGTCGCACACAAGCTACACGCATGTTGCGCACAAGTTACACGCATGTTACACACATGTTACACACGCGTTTCACGCCAGTTACACGCATGTTACACGCATGTTACACACAAGTTACACACATGTTACACAAAATGTTACACACAAGTTACACGCATGTTACACACAAGTTACACGCATGTTACACACAAGCTACACGCATGTTGCACAAAAGTTACACGCATGTTACACACGCGTTACACGCCAGTTACACGCATGTTACACGCATGGCACTTGTGCGCGTCAGGGCCCCTGAGATCCTGACGAGGGGAGGGCACAACCGGTCTGTGGACTGGTGGAGTCTGGGAGCTCTCATGTACGACATGCTGACTGGGGCGGTGAGAGCACACACAACATACAACGTACACACTACATACACACAACATACATACACACATACATACACACATACATACACACATACATACTACATACTACATACATACACACAACATACAACGTACACACTACATACACACAACATACTACATACATACACACTACATACACACATACATACTACATACACACTACATACACACAACATACTACATACATACATCATAGACACTACATACACACTACATACAACATACATACACACTACATACAACATACATACACACTACATACTACATACATACACACTACATACACACAACATACTACATACATACACACTACATACAACATACACACTACATACACACAACATACACACTACATACACACATACATACTACATACTACATACATACACACTACATACATACTACATACATACACTCTACATACATACTACATACTACATACACACAACATACAACGTACACACTAGATACACACTACATACACACTACATACATACACATACACACTACATACACACAACATACAACATACATACATACACACTACATACACACTACATACATACTACATACACACAACATACAACGTACACACTACATACACACTACATACATACACACTACATACATACTACATACATACACACACACAACATACATACTACATACATACATACTACATACATACATACTACATACACACTACATACACACAACATACATACACACTACATACATACTACATACATACACACATACATACTACATACACACTACATACATACTACATACACACTACATACATACTACATAATTACACACTACATACATACTACATACATACACACAACATACAACATACACACTACATACACACTACATACATACTACATACTTACACACTACATACATACTACATACATACACACATACATACTACATACTTACACACTACATACACACTACATACACACACAACATACAACGTACACACTACATACACACTACATACACACTACATACACACATACATACTACATACTACATACACACAACATACAACGTACACACTACATACACACACATACACACTACATACATACACATACACACTACATACATACTACATACATACACACTACATACATACTACATACATACACACATACATACTACATACTTACACACTACATACACACAACATACATACTACATACATACACACTACATACATACTACATACATACACACATACATACTACATACACACTACATACATACTACATACACACTACATACATACTACATAATTACACACTACATACATACTACATACATACACACAACATACAACATACACACTACATACACACTACATACATACTACATACTTACACACTACATACATACTACATACATACACACATACATACTACATACTTACACACTACATACACACTACATACACACACACAACATACAACGTACACACTACATACACACTACATACACACTACATACACACATACATACTACATACTACATACACACAACATACAACGTACACACTACATACACACACATACACACTACATACATACACATACACACTACATACATACTACATACATACACACTACATACATACTACATACATACACACTACATACATACACACTACATACACACTACATACAACGTACACACTACATACATACTACATACATACTACATACTTAATACATACACACTACATACATACACATACATACTACATACATACACACATACATACTACATACACACTACATACATACTACATACACACTACATACACACAACATACATACTACATACATACATACACACATACATACTACATACACACTACATACATACACACTACATACATACTACATACATACACACTACATACATACTACATACATACACACATACATACTACATACATACATACACACTACATACATACACACTACATACACACTACATACATACACACTACATACATACACACACACTACATACACACAACATACATACTACATACACACTACATACATACACATACACACTACATACACACACATACACACTACATACACACTACATACACACACATACACACTACATACACACACATACACACTACATACATACACACTACATACACACACATACACACTACATACATACACATACACACTACATACATACACACACACATACACACACACATATACACAACAACAACAACCGCCATTCGCCACTAAGTGGCGGTGACGTCACCACGACGCTTGTGCCAGGCTATGTGCACCCTGAGGCCACGTGAAGTGTCGAACGCCCGCTGGCAGGAGGTCACGGGGCAGACCCAGGTGCCACGGGTCGACTGACTTAGATGACTGGCTGATGCACCACCTGTGCCCCCTACTGTGCCAACCTGCTGTGCTTTAGCCACTCGGCGCTCCGCTCGTTGTTGTGAGCGTCGCTCCTCCGCCCTCCGTTGTTGTTGGAGGGCGACTGCCTCCAACTGCCCAGTAGCATCCTTCACGAGCCTCCTCCACAGAGGTCGATCTTGACACCGCTGGTACCAGTCATCGGCAAGTCCACTCAGCTCCACGTCCTCCTGTACCACATCACTCCATCTCTTCTCTAGCCCGTGCCGCGCCCGCTTAGCCCCCTCAATCCGGCTGAACAAAAGCTGTTTCGGCATGCGTTGGCTGGGCATGCGGGCTACATGACCCAGCCATCGCAGCCTTGCCCGCCGGAGGAGCTCACCGATGGGACCTTGCCCAGATCTTTCAAGGATTTGTGAGCTCCTCACACAATCCAGTCTGGTTAAACCCAGGATGGATCGTAGGCAGGCCAGCCTAAATGTTTCCAACCGGCGAAGATGTTCCATTAGGGGGGTCCACGTTTCGCAAGCGTAGAGAAGGGAGGGAATGACCGTGGCCGAGAAGACCTGAAGCTTAGTGCGGAGCGACAGACCAGGTAGCTTCCACACAGCGTTACGCAACCCATGAAAAGATATTGCCGCTCGACTGAGTGAGACCTCTGCTGTTAAACTGGAGCCAGTCATAAGCACACTGCCCAGGTATGGGAAACTCTCCACTCTCTCCACAACTGCCCCATCACCGATTGGGAGTTGTGGGGGTGGAGTGTCCGATGGTACAAAATACCCAGGCAGGTGCTTAGTTTTGGTGGGGCTGATGGTAAGGCCCCACCTCTTAGTGGCACGCTCCAGTCTCAGCAGCAGCGTCTCCAACTCCTCCTCTGACTGAGCAGCTATTACCAAATCATCAGCATACATAACGTGGTTGAGCAATAGGGAGCCATCCCTTGACCGCACCCGGGCATCGATCAGCCTCCCATTATATCTGTACCATATGGAGATTCCCCCGGTACAGCTATTGAAAGCTTCACGAACTACGTGGTCAAAATAGATGTTAAATAATGTGGGAGCCAGAGGACATCCCTGTCGCACCCCAAGGTGTACAGGGAATGGTTCTGACTCCCGGCCACGTAGTTTTACCCGGGCCCGCTCACCATCATGAAGGTCCTTAATGATCGTGAGCAGAGGGTCAGGGACTCCAAAAGCACGAAGAACGACCCAGAGCCCAGGCCTACTGATGGTATCATAGGCCTTGACCAGGTCAATAAAGCAGAGATGTAGGTCTTGTTGGAATTCCCTACACCTCTGCTGTAGCAGACGGGCAGAAAATATGGCATCTGTGCAGGACTGCCCTTTCCTGAAACCGCACTGGGGCTCCGCAAGCCTCTCCTCAGTGTGCCTGGCAAGGCGATGCTGAATAATCCTTGCCAGGACCTTTCCCGGCACACTGAGGAGTGAGATGCCCCTGTAGTTGTTACAGTCTGTGCGGTCCCCCTTCTTAAAGAGGGGGATCACCAGGGCATCCTTCCAATCCTGCGGAACCCGTCCAATGGTCAAGACTGTTGTTATGATGTCATGTAGGGCAGTCTGTGCACAAACGCCACCCTCCCTCAGCATTTCGTTTGGGAGATCATCTCTGCCCGCTGCCTTTCCTGGTCTCAGACTCTGGATCGCCTTCAGTACTTCCTCAACAGATGGCACCTCAGCCAGCCACTCACAGGGGGTGACTTCTTCCAATATTTGAGGCACCGCAGCCTCAGCAGGGTCATCCCCACTTTGTGCCACGATGTTTTCCTGGCTGAGGGATTTCCCCTCCCCCAGGACCTCACAGAAATGCTCAGCAAATCTGCAAACACATACACACACATACACACATACACAAGCACATACATACACACACATACACACGCATACACACGCACAAACATACACACACATACACACGCATACACACGCACACACATACACACACAGATACACACATCATCAGCTGCTGATGATGCTGCTGCTGCTGCTGATGATGCTGCTGCTGCTGATGATGTTGATGATGATACTGATGATGATACTGATTATGATGCTGAGATGCTGATGATGCTGCTGCTGATGATGATGATGATGCTGATGATGCTGATGATGCTGCTGATGATGCTGCTGCTGATGATGCTGCTGCTGATGATGCTGCTTCTGCTACTGATGATGATGCTGCTGCTGATGATGCTGATGCTGCTGCTGATGATGCTGATGATGATGCTGCTGCTGATGCTGCTGCTGCTGCTGCTGTTGATGATGATACTGCTGCTGATGATGATGCTGATGATGATTATGCTGCTGCTGATGACGATGCTGCTGCTGCTGCTGATGATGCTGCTGCTGATGATGCTGATGATGCTGCTGATGGTGATGGTGCTGATGATAATGATGCTGTTGATGATGATGCTGCTGCTGATGATGATGATGCTACTGCTGATGATGATGATGCTGCTGTGGATGATGATGATGATGGTGCTGCTGATGATGATGATGATGCTGTTGATGATGATGATGCTGCTGCTGATTATGATGCTGCTGCTGCTGATGATGATGATGCTGATGCTGCTGCTGATGATGATGATGCCTCTTAGCCGCCGTTCACGGCTGAGAACCGCAAGAAGACGATTGACAAAATCCTGCGGTGCAAAGTGAACTTCCCTCCCTACCTCACTCCAGACTCTCGCGACCTTCTCAAGAAGGTGAAAGACACACACACAGACACACAGAGACACACACAGACACACACAGAGACACACAGAGACACACACAAAGTGAACTTCCCTCCCTACCTCACTCCAGACTCTCGCGACCTTCTCAAGAAGGTGAAAGACACACACAGAGACACACAGAGACACACAGAGACACACAGAGACACACAGATACACACAGAGACACACAGAGACACACAGAGACACACACAGAGACACACACAGAGACACACAGAGACACACACAGAGACACACAGAGACACACAGAGACACACAGAGACACACAGAGACACACACAAAGTGAACTTCCCTCCCTACCTCACTCCAGACTCTCGCGACCTTCTCAAGAAGGTGAAAGACACACACAGAGACACACAGAGACACACACAGACACACACAGAGACACACAGAGACACACACAAAGTGAACTTCCCTCCCTACCTCACTCCAGACTCTCGCGACCTTCTCAAGAAGGTGAAAGACAAACACAGAGACACACAGAGACACACAGAGACACACCGAGACACACACAGAGACACACAGAGACACACAGAGACACACACAAAGTGAACTTCCCTCCCTACCTCACTCCAGACTCTCGCGACCTTCTCAAGAAGGTGAATGACACACACAGAGACACACAGAGACACACAGAGACACACAGAGACACACAGAGACACACAGAGAGACACACAAAGTGAACTTCCCTCCCTACCTCACTCCAGACTCTCGCGACCTTCTCAAGAAGGTGAAAGACACAAACAGAGACACACAGAGACACACAGAGACACACAGAGACACACAGAGACACACAGAGACACACACAGACACACAGAGACACACAGAGACACACAAAGTGAACTTCCCTCCCTACCTCACTCCAGTCTCTCGCGACCTTCTCAAGAAGGTGAAAGACACACACAGAGACACACAGAGACACACAGAGACACACAGAGACACACACAAAGTGAACTTCCCTCCCTACCTCACTCCAGACTCTCGCGACCTTCTCAAGAAGGTGAATGACACACACAGAGACACACAGAGACACACAGAGACACACAGAGACACACAGAGACACACACAAAGTGAACTTCCCTCCCTACCTCACTCCAGCCTCTCGCGACCTTCTCAAGAAGGTGAAAGACACAAACAGAGACACACACAGAGACACACAGAGACACACAGAGACACACACAAAGTGAACTTCCCTCCCTACCTCACTCCAGTCTCTCGCGACCTTCTCAAGAAGGTGAAAGACACACACAGACACACAGAGACACACAGAGACACACACAAAGTGAACTTCCCTCCCTACCTCACTCCAGACTCTCGCGACCTTCTCAAGAAGGTGAAAGACACACACAGAGACACACAGAGACACACAGAGACACACGGAGAGACACACAAAGTGAACTTCCCTCCCTACCTCACTCCAGACTCTCGCGACCTTCTCAAGAAGGTGAAAGACACACACAGAGACACACAGAGACACACAGAGACACACACAAAGTGAACTTCCCTCCCTACCTCACTCCAGACTCTCGCGACCTTCTCAAGAAGGTGAATGACACACACAGAGACACACAGAGACACACAGAGACACACAGAGACACACACAAAGTGAACTTCCCTCCCTACCTCACTCCAGCCTCTCGCGACCTTCTCAAGAAGGTGAAAGACACAAACAGAGACACACAGAGACACACAGAGACACACAGAGACACACAGAGACACACAGAGACACACACAAAGTGAACTTCCCTCCCTACCTCACTCCAGACTCTCGCGACCTTCTCAAGAAGGTGAAAGACACACACACAGAGACACACAGAGACACACAGAGACACACAGAGACACACAGAGACACACAGAGACACACAGAGACACACACAAAGTGAACTTCCCTCCCTACCTCACTCCAGACTCTCGCGACCTTCTCAAGAAGGTGAAAGACACAAACAGACACACAGAGACACACAGAGACACACAGAGACACACACAAAGTGAACTTCCCTCCCTACCTCACTCCAGACTCTCGCGACCTTCTCAAGAAGGTGAAAGACACACACAGAGACACACAGAGACACACAGAGACACACAGAGACACACACAAAGTGAACTTCCCTCCCTACCTCACTCCAGACTCTCGCGACCTTCTCAAGAAGGTGAAAGACACACACAGAGACACACAGAGACACACAGAGACACACACAAAGTGAACTTCCCTCCCTACCTCACTCCAGACTCTCGCGACCTTCTCAAGAAGGTGAAAAGCACAAACAGAGACACACAGAGACAAACAGAGACACACAGAGACACACAGAGACACACACAGAGTGAACTTCCCTCCCTACCTCACTCCAGACTCTCGCGACCTTCTCAAGAAGGTGAAAGACAAACACAGAGACACACAGAGACACACAGAGACACACCGAGACACACACAGAGACACACAGAGACACACAGAGACACACACAAAGTGAACTTCCCTCCCTACCTCACTCCAGACTCTCGCGACCTTCTCAAGAAGGTGAAAGACACACACAGAGACACACAGAGACACACAGAGACACACAGAGACACACACAAAGTGAACTTCCCTCCCTACCTCACTCCAGACTCTCGCGACCTTCTCAAGAAGGTGAAAGACACACACAGAGACACACAGAGACACACAGAGACACAGAGACACACAGAGACACACAGAGACACACAGAGACACACACAAAGTGTTCTTCCCTCCCTACCTCACTCCAGAGTCTCGCGACCTTCTCAAGAAGGTGAAAGACACAAACAGAGACACACAGAGACACACAGAGACACACAGAGACACACACAAAGTGAACTTCCCTCCCTACCTCACACCAGACTCTCGCGACCTTCTCAAGAAGGTGAAAGACACAAACAGAGACACACAGAGACACACAGAGACACACCGAGACACACACAAAGTGAACTTCCCTCCCTACCTCACTCCAGACTCTCGTGACCTTCTCAAGAAGGTGAAAGACACAAACAGAGACACACAGAGACACACAGAGACACACAGAGACACACAGAGACACACACAAAGTGAACTTCCCTCCCTACCTCACTCCAGACTCTCGCGACCTTCTCAAGAAGGTGAAAGACAAACACAGAGACACACAGAGACACACAGAGACACACAGAGACACACAGAGACACACAGAGACACACAGAGACACACACAAAGTGTTCTTCCCTCCCTACCTCACCCCAGACTCTCGCGACCTTCTCAAGAAGGTGAAAGACACACACAAAGACACAGAGACACACAGAGACACACAGAGACACACAGAGACACACAGACACACACAGAGACACACAGAGACACACACAAAGTGAACTTCCCTCCCTACCTCAGTCCAGACTCTCGCGACCTTCTCAAGAAGGTGAAAGACGAACACAGAGACACACAGAGACACACACAAAGTGAACTTCCCTCCCTACCTCACTCCAGACTCTCGCGACCTTCTCAAGAAGGTGAAAGACACAAACAGAGACACACAGAGACACACAGAGACACACACAGAGACACACAGAGACACACACAAAGTGAACTTCCCTCTCTACCTCACTCCAGACTCTCGCGACCTTCTCAAGAAGGTGAAAGACACAAACAGAGACACACAGAGACACACAGAGACACACAGAGACACACAGACACACACAGAGACACACAGAGACACACACAAAGTGAACTTCCCTCCCTACCTCACTCCAGACTCTCGCGACCTTCTCAAGAAGGTGAAAGACAAACACAGAGACACACAGAGACACACAGAGACACACCGAGACACACACAGAGACACACAGAGACACACAGAGACACACACAAAGTGAACTTCCCTCCCTACCTCACTCCAGACTCTCGCGACCTTCTCAAGAAGGTGAAAGACACACACAGAGACACACAGAGACACACAGAGACACACAGAGACACACAGAGACACACAGAGACACACACAGAGTGAACTTCCCTCCCTACCTCACTCCAGACTCTCGCGACCTTCTCAAGAAGGTGAAAGACAAACACAGAGACACACAGAGACACACACAGACACACAGAGACACACAGAGACACACAGAGACACACAGAGACACACAGAGACACACAGAGACACACACAAAGTGAACTTCCCTCCCTACCTCACTCCAGACTCTCGCGACCTTCTCAAGAAGGTGAAAGACACAAACAGAGACACACAGAGACACACAGAGACACACAGAGACACACACAAAGTGAACTTCCCTCCCTACCTCACTCCAGACTCTCGCGACCTTCTCAAGAAGGTGAAAGACACACACAAAGACACAGAGACACACAGAGACACACAGAGACACACAGAGACACACAGAGACACACACAAAGTGAACTTCCCTCCCTACCTCACTCCAGACTCTCGCGACCTTCTCAAGAAGGTGAAAGACACACACAGAGACACACAGAGACACACAGAGACACACAGAGACACACAGAGACAAACACAGAGACACACAGAGACACACAGAGACACACAGAGACAAACACAGAGACACACAGAGACACACAGAGACACACAGGGACACACAGAGACACACACACAGAGACACACACAGAGAGACAAACACAGAGACAAACACAGAGACACACAGAGACACACAGAGACACACAGAGACACACACAAAGTGAACTTCCCTCCCTACCTCACTCCAGACTCTCGCGACCTTCTCAAGAAGGTGAAAGACAAACACAGAGACACACAGAGACACACACAGAGACACACAGAGACACACACAGAGACACACAGAGACACACAGAGACACACAGAGACACACGGAGACAGAGACACACAGAGACACACAGAGACACACAGAGACAGAGACACACAGAGACACACAGCGACACACAGACAAACACAGAGACACACACAGAGACACACAGACAGAGACACACAGAGACACACAGAGACACACAGAGACACACAGACAGAGACACACAGAGACACACAGAGACACACACAGAGACACACAGAGACAGACAGAGAGACACACAGAGACACACACATAGACACACACACAGAGACACACAGAGACACACAGAGACACACAGAGACACACACAGAGACACGCACAGAGACACACAGACACACACAGTGACACACACAGAGACACACACAGAGACACACAGACACACACACAGAGACACACAGAGACACACAGAGACACACACACAGAGACACACAGAGACACACAGAGACACAGACAGACACACACAGACACAGAGAGACACACAGAGACACACAGAGACACACAGAGACACACACAGAGACACACAGAGAGACACACAGAGACACACAGAGACACACAGAGGCAAAGACACACAGAGACACACACAGAGACACACAGAGACACACACAGAGACACACACAGAGACACACACAGAGACACAGAGACACACACACAGACACACAGAGACACACACAGAGACACACACAGAGACACACAGACGCACACAGAGATACACAGAGACACACGGAGACACACAGAGACACACAGAGACACACAGAGACACACACAGAGATACAGAGACTCACACACAGAGACACACACAGAGAGACACACAGAGACACACACAGAGAAACACATAGAGACACACACAGAGACACACACACACACAGACACACACACAGACACACAGAGACACACACAGAGATACAGAGACTCACACACAGAGACACACACAGAGAGACACACAGAGACACACACAGAGACACACATAGAGACACCCAGACACACACAGACACACACACAGACACACACAGAGACACACACAGATACACACAGAGACCCACACACAGACACACAGACGCACACAGAGACACACACAGAGACACACACAGAGACACACAGAGACACACACAGAGACACACAGAGACACACACACAGATACAGAGACTCGCACACAGAGACACACACAGAGAGACACACACAGAGACACACACAGAGACACACACACACAGAGTATGTGTGTGGTTAGCGCTACGCTGCGCTATGAACCTGGCGACCCGGGTTCGATTCCTGCTCACGGCCAACACCGGTGACGATTATCTGAACCGGTCCCGGGCCTCCCCTAGGTCGACTCAGCCTCAAATGAGTACCTGGTGCGGTGTGTAAACATCGCCACTAGGGAGACAAAGGCGGTCGGGCGTGGTGCTGGCCACCCACCCTCTCGTGTACCGTTCCGGCCTTCATAGGTGCTCGCTAACAGCACTTAAGGCTATATGGGGGATCTTTGTCTGTATGTGTGTGTGTCTCTGTGTGTATGTCTGTGTGTGTCTCTGTGTGTGTGTGTCTGTGTGTGTCTCTGTGTGTGTGACTCTGTGTCTGTGTGTGTCTCTGTGTGTGTGTCTGTGTGTGTCTCTGTGTGTGTGTCTGTGTGTGTGTCTGTGTCTGTGTGTCTCTGTGTGTGTGTCTGTGTGTGTGTCTCTGTGTGTGTGTCTGTGTGTGTGTGTCTGTGTGTGTATGTCTGTGTGTCTGTGTGTGTGTCTCTGTGTGTCTGTGTGTGTGTGTGTCTGTCTGTGTGTGTGTCTGTGTGTGTGTCTGTGTGTGTGTCTGTGTGTGTCTGTGTGTGTGTCTGTGTGTGTGTGTCTGTGTGTGTGTCTGTGTGTGTGTCTGTGTGTCTGTGTGTGTGTGTGTCTGTGTGTGTTTAGTTGCTGAAGAAGAACCACTCCAACCGGCTAGGAGCGGGAACACGCGACGTGGATGACGTGAAGGTGATGATGGTGATGGTGGTGGTGATGATGGTGATGGTGGTGATGGTGGTGGTGATGGTGGTGATGGTGGTGGTGGTGGTGATGGTGGTGATGGTGGTGGTGGTGATGATGGTGGTGGTGGTGATGGTGGTGATGGTGGTGGTGGTGATGGTGGTGGTGGTGATGGTGGTGGTGGTGGTGATGATGGTGGTGATGGTGGTGGTGGTGATGGTGGTGGTGGTGATGGTGGTGGTGGTGATGATGGTGGTGATGGTGGTGGTGGTGATGGTGGTGGTGATGGTGGTGGTGGTGGTGATGGTGGTGATGGTGGTGGTGGTGATGGTGGTGGTGGTGATGGTGGTGATGGTGGTGATGGTGGTGGTGGTGATGGTGGTGATGATGGTGATGATGGTGGTGATGGTGGTGATGGTGGTGGTGATGGTGGTGGTGGTGATGGTGGTGGTGATGGTGGTGGTGATGGTGGTGATGGTGGTGGTGATGGTGGTGATGATGGTGGTGGTGGTGGTGATAGTGGTGGTGGTGGTGGTGATGGTGGTGGTGATGGTGGTGATGGTGGTGGTAGTGATGGTGGTGATGGTGGTGGTGGTGGTGATGGTGGTGGTGGTGATGGTGGTGATGATGGTGATGATGGTGGTGATGGTGGTGATGTTGATGGTGGTGGTGATGGTGGTGATGATGGTGATGATGGTGGTGATGGTGGTGATGTTGATGGTGGTGGTGATGGTGGTGATGGTGGTGATGATGGTGATGGTGGTGATGGTAGTGATGGTGGTGGTGATGATGATGGTGATGGTGGTGATGGTGGTGATGGTGGTGATGGTATTGATGATGGTGATGGTGGTGATGGTAGTGATGGTAGTGGTGATGGTGGTGATGGTGGTGATGGTAGTGATGGTAGTGATGATGGTAGTGATGATGGTGATGATGGTGATGGTGGTGATGTTGATGGTAGTGATGATGATGGTGATGGTATTGATGATGGTGATGGTGGTGATGGTGATGATGATGGTGGTGATGGTGGTGATGGTGATGGTAGTTATGGTAGTGATGATGGTGATGGTGGTGATGGTATTGATGATAGTGATGGTGGTGATGGTGGTGATGGTATTGATGATGGTGGTGGTGATGGTGGTGATGGTGATGGTAGTGATGGTGGTGATGGTGGTGATGGTGATGGTATTGATGATGGTGATGGTGGTGATGATGGTGGCGATGGTGGTGATGGTATTGATGATAGTGATGGTGGTGATGGTTTTGATGGTATTGATGATGGTGATGGTGGCGATGGTAGTGATGGTAGTGATGGCGGTGATGGTAGTGATGGTGGTGATGATGGTGATGGTATTGATGGTGGTGATGGTGATGGTGGTGATTGTGGTGATGGTGTTGATGGTAGTGGTGATGGTGATAGTGGTGATGGTAGTGGTGATGGTGATGGTATTGATGATGGTAATGGTGGTGGTGTTGATGATGGTATTGATGATGGTGATGGTATTGATGACAGTGATGGTATTGATGATCGTGATAGTATTGATGGTATTGATGTTAGTGATGGTAGTGATGGTGGTGATGTTGATGGTGATGTTGCTGATGTTGGTGATGTTGATGATGGTAGTGATGGTATTGATGATGGTATTGATGTTGGTGATGGTGATGTTGATGGTGATGTTGCTAGGTATTGATGATGGTGATGATGTTGATGGTAGTGATGATGGTATTGATGATGGTGATGATTTGATGGTAGTGATGATGGTATTGATGTTGGTGATGGTGATGTTGATGGTAGTGATGATGGTGTTGATGATGTTGCTGGTGTTGATGTTGCTAGGCTCACCCATTCTTCAAGCTAACGCCCTGGGCTGACTTACTCTCACGCAAAGCGGAGCCTCCGTTTAGGCCTTGCCTGGTGAGTAGGCCACCACTCACTCACCACTCACTCACCACTCACTCACCGCTCACTCACCACTCACTCACTCACCACTCACTCACTCACTCACCACTCACTCACTCACTCACCACTCACTCACCACTTACTCACCACCCACTCACCACTCACTCACTCACCACTCACTCACCACTCACTCACTCACCACTCACTCACCACTTACTCACCACTCACTCACCACTCACTCACCACTCACTCACTCACCACTCACTCACTCACTCACCACTTACTCACCACTCACTCACCACTCACTCACCACTCACTCACCACCCACTCACCACTCACTCACTCACCACTCACTCACTCACCACTCACTCACCACTCACTCACCCACTCACACACCCACTCACTCACTCACCCACTCACTCACCCACCCACTCACTCACCCACTCACACACCCACTCACTCACTCACCCACCTACTCACTCACCCACTCACTCACTCACCACTCACTCAGCACTCAGTCACCACTCACTCACCACTCACTCACCATTCACCCACTCACCACTCATTCACCACTCACCACTCGCTCACCACTCACTCACTCACTCACCATTCACTCACCACTCACTCACTCACCATTCACTCACTATCCACTCACTGACCACTCACTCACCACTCACCACTCGTTGGTGATGTTGATGACATTGATAATGATGTTGATCATGTTGATGTTGATGATTTTGTTGTTGATGATGTTGATGATGTTGATGATGTTGATGTTGATGATGTTGATGGTGATGATTATGTTGGTGATGTTGGTTTTATGATGTTGATGATGATGTTGATGGTGTTGGTATCGATGTTGATGATGTTGTTGATGTTGATGATGTTGATTTTGATGATGTTGATGATGATGTTGTTGATGATGATGATGTTGTTGATGTTGCTGATGATGTTGATGTTATTGATGTTGTTTATGTTGATGATGTTGTTGATGATGATAGTGATGATGTTGATGATGTTGTTGATGATGATAGTGATGATGATGTCGTTGATGTTGCTGATGATGTTGATGTTATTGATGTTGTTTATGTTGATGATGATGTTGTTGATGATGATAGTGATGATGATGATGATGATGTTGATGATGTTGTTGATGATGATAGTGATGATGATGTTGTTGATGTTGATGACGTTGATGATGATGTTGATGATGTTATTGATGTTGTTTATGTTGATGATGATGTTGTTGATGATGATAGTGATGATGATGATGTTGATGTTGTTGATGATGATGTTGTTGATGTTGCTGATGATGTTGATGTTATTGATGTTGTTTATGTTGATGATGTTGTTGATGATGATAGTGATGATGATGATGTTGATGATGTTGTTGATGATAATAGTGATGATGATGTCGTTGATGTTGCTGATGATGTTGATGTTATTGATGTTGTTTATGTTGATGATGATGTTGTTGATGATGATAGTGATGATGATGATGTTGATGATGTTGTTGATGATGATAGTGATGATGTTGATGATGTTGCTGATGATGATGTTGTTGATGTTGATGATGTTGTTGATGTTATTGATGTTGTTTATGTTGATGATGTTGTTGATGATGATAGTGATGATGATGATGTTGATGATGTTGTTGATGATAATAGTGATGATGATGTCGTTGATGTTGCTGATGATGTTGATGTTATTGATGTTGTTTATGTTGATGATGATGTTGATGATGATAGTGATGATGATGATGATGTTGATGATGTTGTTGATGATGATAGTGATGATGATGTTGTTGATGTTGATGACGTTGGTGATGATGTTGATGATGTTGATGATGTTGATGATGTTATTGATGTTGTTTATGTTGATGATGATGTTGTTGATGATGATAGTGATGATGATGATGTTGATGATGTTGTTGATGATGATGTTGTTGATGTTGATGATGTTGATGTTATTGATGTTGTTGATGATGTTGTTGATGATGATGATGTTGTTGATGTTGCTGATGATGTTGATGTTGTTGATGTTGATGATGATGTTGTTGATGTTGTAGCAATCGGAGGATGACGTGCGACACTTTGATGCCAAGTTCACGAAGCAGCCGCCCGTCGACAGCCCGGATGATAGCTCCCTGAGTCACAGCGCGGACCTTGCGTTTCAGGTGAGATGTTGACTACTTCGCCTGGTACTCAGGAAGTCGTGGGTCTCTCTAGCCCAGTGAGATGTTGACTACCTCGCCTGGTACTCAGGAAGTCGTGGGTCTCTCTAGCCCAGTGAGATGTTGACTACCTCGCTTGGTACGCAGGAAGTCGTAGGTCTCTCTCTACCCCCGGTGAGATGTTGACTACCTCGCCTGGTACTCAGGAAGTCGTGGGTCTCTCTAGCCCAGTGAGATGTTGACTACCTCGCCTGGTACTCAGGAAGTCGTGGGTCTATCTACCCCGGTGAGATGTTGACTACCTCGCCTGGTACTCAGGAAGTCGTGGATCTCTCTCTAGCCCAGTGAGATGTTGACTACCTCGCCTGGTACTCAGGAAGTCGTGGGTCTCTCTAGCCCAGTGAGATGTTGACTACCTCGCTTGGTACGCAGGAAGTCGTAGGTCTCTCTCTACCCCCGGTGAGATGTTGACTACCTCGCCTGGTACTCAGGAAGTCGTGGGTCTCTCTAGCCCAGTGAGATGTTGACTACCTCGCCAGGTACTCAGGAAGTCGTGGGTCTCTCTAGCCCAGTGAGATGTTGACTACCTCGCCTGGTACTCAGGAAGTCGTGGGTCTCTCTCTACCCCCGGTGAGATGTTGACTACCTCGCCAGGTACTCAGGAAGTCGTGGGTCTCCCTAGCCCAGTGAGATGTTGACTACCTCGCCAGGTACTCGGGAAGTCGTGGGTCTCTCTAGCCCAGTGAGAGGTTGTCTACCTCACCTGGTACTCAGGAAGTCGTGGGTCTCTATGTATCTCTATGGGTCTCTATGGGTCTCTATGTATCTCTATGGGTCTCTATGTATCTCTATGTATCTCTATGGGTCTCTGTGTGTCTCTATGTATCTCTATGTATCTCTATGGGTCTCTATGTATCATTGTGGGTCTCTATGGGTCTCTATGTATCTCTATGTGTGTCTATGTATCTCTATGGGTCTCTATGTATCTCTATGTGTCTCTATGTATCTCTATGGGTCTCTATGTACATCTATGGGTCTCTATGGGTCTCTATTTATCTCTATGGGTCTCTGTATCTCTATGGGTCTCTATGTATCTCTATGGGTCTCTATGTATCTCTGTGGGTCTCTGTATCTCTATGGGTCTCTATGTATCTCTATGGGTCTCTATGTATCTCTATGTATCCTATGGGTCTCTATGTATCTCTATGGGTCTCTATTTATCTCTATGGGTCTCTATGTATCTCTATGTATCTCTATGGGTCTCTATGGGTCTCTATGCATCTCTATGCGTCTCTATGGGTCTCTATGGGTCTCTATGTGTCTCTATGTATCTCTATGTATCTCTATGGGTCTCTATGTATCTCTGTGTATCTCTATGGGTCTCTATGGGTCTCTATGTATCTCCATGGGTCTCTATGGGTCTCTATGTGTCTCAATGGGTCTCTATGGTTCTCTATGAGTCTCTATGTATCTCTATGGGTCTCTATGTATCTCTATGTGTCTCTATGTATCTCTATGCGTCTCTATGTATCTCTATGGGTCCCTATGTATCTCTATGTATCTCTATGGGTCTCTATGTATCTCTATGGGTCTATGTGGGTCTCTATGTATCTCTATGTATCTCTATGTATCTTTGTGGGTCTCCATGTATCTCAATGTATCTCTATGGGTCTCTATGTATCTCTATGGGTCTCTATGTATCTCTATGTATCTCTATGGGTCTCTATGTATCTCTATGTTTCTCTATGGGTCTCTATGTATTTCTATGTATCTTTATGGGTCTCTATCTCTGTGTATCTCTATGGGTCATTATGTATCTCTATGGGTCTCTATGTATCTCTATGGGTCTCTATGTATCTCTATGGGTCTCTATGTATCTCTATGGGTCTCTATGTATCTCTATGTATCTCTATGTATCTCTATGGGTCTCTATGGGTCTCTATGTATCTCTATGGGTCTCTATGTATCTCTATGTATCTCTATGGGTTTCTATGTATTTCTGTGTATCTCTATGGGTCTCTATGGGTCTCTGTATCTCTATGTATCTCTATGGGTCTCTATGGGTCTCTATGTATCTCTATGGGTCTCTATGTATCTATATGGGTCTCTATGTATCTATATGGGTCTCTATGTATCTCTATGGGTCTCTATGTATCTCTATGGGTCTCTATTTATCTCTATGGGTCTCTATGTATCTCTATGGGTCTCTATGGGTCTCTATGTATCTCTATGCGTCTCTATGGGTCTCTATGTGTCTCTATGTATCTCTATGTATCTCTATGGGTCTCTATGTATCTCTATGTATCTCTTTGGGTCTCTATGGGTCTCTATGTATCTCCATGGGTCTCTATGGGTCTCTATGTGTCTCAATGGGTCTCTATGGGTCTCTATGTATCTCTATGTGTCTCTATGTATCTCTATGCATCTCTATGTATCTCTATGGGTCCCTATGTATCTCTATGTATCTCTATGGGTCTCTATGTATCTCTATGGGTCTATGTGGGTCTCTATGTATCTCTATGTATCTCTATGTATCTCTGTGGGTCTCCATGTATCTCAATGTATCTCTATGGGTCTCTATGTATCTCTATGGGTCTCTATGTATCTCTATGTATCTCTATGGGTCTCTATGTATCTCTATGTTTCTCTATGGGTCTCTATGTATTTCTATGTATCTTTATGGGTCTCTATCTCTGTGTATCTCTATGGGTCTCTATGTATCTCTATGGGTCTCTATGTATCTCTATGGGTCTCTATGTATCTCTATGTATCTCTATGGGTCTCTATGGGTCTCTATGTATCTCTATGGGTCTCTATGTATCTCTATGTATCTCTATGGGTTTCTATGTATTTCTGTGTATCTCTATGGGTCTCTATGGGTCTCTGTATCTCTATGTATCTCTATGGGTCTCTATGGGTCTCTATGGGTCTCTATGTATCTATATGGGTCTCTATGTATCTATATGGGTCTCTATGTATCTATATGGGTCTCTATGTATCTCTATGGGTCTCTATGTATCTCTATGGGTCTCTATGTATCTATATGGGTCTCTATGTATCTCTATGGGTCTCTATGTATCTCTATGGGTCTCTATGTATCTATATGGGTCTCTATGTATCTCCATGTGTCTCTATGGGTCTCTATGGGTCTCTCTGTATCTCTATGGGTCTCTGTGGTTCTCTATGGGTCTCTGTGGTTCTCTATGTATCTCTATGGGTCTCTATGTATCTCTATGGGTCTCTATGTATCTCTATGTGTCTCTATGTGTCTCTATGTTTCTCTATGGGTCTCTATGTATCTCTATGGGTCTCTATGGGTCTCTATGTATCTCTATGGGTCTCTATGTATCTCTATGTATCTCTATGGGTCTCTATGTATCTCTATGGGTCTCTATGTATCTCTATGTATCTCTATGGGTCTCTATGTATCTCTATGTATCTCTATGGGTCTCTATGTATCTCTATCTAACTCTATGGGTCTCTATGTATCTCTATGGGTCTCTATGTATCTCTATGTATCTCTATGGGTCTCTATGTGTCTCTATGGGTCTCTATGTATCTCTATGTATCTCTATGTAACTCCCCACGTGATGATCCCTGCCGCTGACTCCGCCCCCTTTCCCCTCGCCCCACCCCTCCCCCCGCCCCTCCCCCCGCCCCTCCCCCCGCCATCCCCCCGCCCCTCCCCCTGCCCCTCCTCCCCCCGCCCCTCCTCCCCCCTCGCCCCGCCCCTCGCCCCGCCCCTCGCCCCGCCCCTCGCCCCGCCCCCGCAGGGCTTCACGTACGTGGCCCCGTCCGTGCTGCACAGCCTGAAGGAGCGATTCTCGTTCCAGCCCAAGGTGCGCTCCCCTCGCTGCAGGGGCCACCACAGCGACAGCCCCCACCTCACGGCCCTCAGGTGGGGGGGGGGGGGGGGTGGGGGGGAGCGGGGGGGAGTGGGTGGGGGGGTGAGTGGGTGGGTGAGTGGGTGAGTGAGTGGGTGAGTAGGTGAGTGAGTGAGTGAGTAGGTGAGTGAGTGAGTGGGTGAGTGAGTGAGTGGGTGAGTGAGTGAGTGGGTGAGTGAGTGAGTGGGTGAGTGAGTGGGTGAGTGGGTGAGTGGGTGAGTGAGTGGGTGGGTGGGTGGGTGAGTGAGTTAGTGGGTGGGTGAGTGGGTGAGTGAGTGGGTGAGTGGGTGAGTGAGTGAGTGAGTGAGTAGGTGAGTGAGTGAGTGGGTGAGTGAGTGAGTGGGTGAGTGAGTGAGTGGGTGAGTGAGTGGGTGAGTGAGTGGGTGAGTGAGTGAGTGAGTGGGTGAGTGAGTGGGTGGGTGAGTGGGTGAGTGAGTGGGTGAGTGAGTAGGTGAGTGAGTGAGTAGGTGAGTGAGTGGGTGAGTGTGTGGGTGAGTGAGTGAGTGGGTGAGTGAGTGGGTGAGTGAGTGGGTGAGTGAGTGGGTGAGTGAGTGGGTGAGTGAGTGGGTGAGTGGGTGAGTGAGTGGGTGGGTGAGTGGGTGAGTGTGTGGGTGGGTGAGTGAGTGAGTGGGTGAGTGGGTGAGTGGGTGTGTGGGTGAGTGAGTGGGTGGGTGAGTGGGTGAGTGGGTGGGTGAGTGAGTGAGTGAGTGGGTGGGTGAGTGAGTGAGTGGGTGAGTGAGTGGGTGAGTGAGTGAGTGAGTGGGTGGGTGAGTGGGTGGGTGAGTGAGTGAGTGAGTGGGTGAGTGAGTGAGTGAGTGGGTGGGTGAGTGAGTGAGTGGGTGAGTGGGTGAGTGAGTGGGTGAGTGAGTGGGTGAGTGGGTGAGTGGGTGAGTGAGTGGGTGGGTGGGTGGGTGAGTGAGTTAGTGGGTGGGTGAGTGGGTGAGTGGGTGAGTGAGTGAGTGAGTAGGTGAGTGAGTGAGTGGGTGAGTGAGTGAGTGGGTGAGTGAGTGAGTGGGTGAGTGAGTGGGTGAGTGAGTGGGTGAGTGAGTGAGTGAGTGGGTGAGTGAGTGGGTGGGTGAGTGGGTGAGTGAGTGGGTGAGTGAGTAGGTGAGTGAGTGAGTAGGTGAGTGAGTGGGTGAGTGAGTGAGTGAGTGGGTGAGTGAGTGAGTGGGTGAGTGAGTGGGTGAGTGAGTGGGTGAGTGAGTGGGTGAGTGAGTGGGTGAGTGAGTGGGTGAGTGGGTGAGTGAGTGGGTGGGTGAGTGGGTGAGTGAGTAGGTGGGTGAGTGAGTGAGTGGGTGAGTGGGTGAGTGGGTGTGTGGGTGAGTGAGTGGGTGGGTGAGTGGGTGAGTGGGTGGGTGAGTGAGTGAGTGAGTGGGTGGGTGAGTGAGTGAGTGGGTGAGTGAGTGGGTGAGTGAGTGAGTGAGTGGGTGGGTGAGTGGGTGGGTGAGTGAGTGAGTGAGTGGGTGAGTGAGTGAGTGAGTGGGTGGGTGAGTGAGTGAGTGGGTGAGTGAGTGGGTGAGTGGGTGAGTGAGTGGGTGAGTGAGTGAGTGAGTGGGTGGGTGAGTGGGTGGGTGAGTGATTGAGTGAGTGGGTGAGTGAGTGGGTGAGTGAGTGAGTGGGTGGGTGGGTGAGTGGGTAAGTGAGTGAGTAGGTGAGTGGGTTGGTGGGTGAGTGGGTGAGTGAGTGGGTGAGTGAGTGAGTGGGTTGTTGGGTGAGTGGGTGAGTGGGTTGGTGGGTGAGTGGGTGAGTGAGTGGGTGAGTGGGTTGGTGGGTGAGTGGGTGAGTGGGTGAGTGGGTTGGTGGGTGAGTGGGTGAGTGAGTGGGTGAGTGGGTTGGTGGGTGAGTGGGTGAGTGAGTGGGTGAGTGAGTGAGTGGGTGGGTGGGTGAGTGAGTGGGTGGGTGGGTGAGTGGGTAAATGAGTGAGTGAGTGGGTGAGTGAGTGAGTGGGTGAGTGAGTTGGTTCATCTTTTAGCATGGGTTTTTGGATCTCTATGGGTCTCTGTGTATCTCTATGGGTCTCTCTGTATCTATGTGGGTCTCTATGTATCTCTGTGGGGCTCTATGTATCTCTGTGAGTCTCTATGTATCTCTGTGAGTCTCTATGTATCTCTGTGAGTCTCTATGTATCTCTGTGAGTCTCTATGTATCTCTGTGAGTCTCTATGTATCTCTATGGGTCTCTATGGGTATCTATGTATCTCTATGGGTCTCTATGTATATCTATGGGTCTTTATGTATCTCTATGGGTCTCTATGTATCGCTATGGGTCTCTATGGGTTTCTATGTATCTCTATGGGTCTCTATGTGTCTTTGTGTGTCTCTGTGTGTCTCTATGTATCTCTATATGTCTCTGTGTCTCTATGTATCTCTATGGGTCTCTGTGTGTCTCTGTGTGTCTCTATGTATTTCTGTGTATATCTGTGTGTCTCTATGTAGCTCTATGTGTCTCTATGCATCTCTATATGTCTATGTGTGTCTCTATGTATCCATATGGGTCTCTGTGTATCTCTATGGGTCTCTGTGTGTCTATATGTATCTCTATGTATCTCTGTGTGTCTCTATGCATCTCTATGTGTCTCTGTGCATCTCTATGTATCTTTATGTATCTCTGTGTGTCTCTGTGTGTCTCTGTGTGTCTCTGTGTGTCTCTATGGGTCTCTATGGGTCTCTGTGCGTCTCTATGTACCTCAACAAAGTGCTGCACCAGCAGCAGCTGGCGACATGAACAGAGCTTCATTGTGTCTCTGTGTGTCTCTATGTGTCTCTGTGCATCTCTATGTATCTTTATGTATCTCTGTGTGTCTCTGTGTGTCTCTGTGTGTCTCTGTGTGTCTCTATGGGTCTCTATGGGTCTCTGTGCATCTCTATGTACCTCAACAAAGTGCTGCACCAGCAGCAGCTGGCGACATGAACAGAGCTTCATTGTATCTCTGTGTCTCTGTATGTCTCTATGTACCTCTATGTATCTCTGTGTGTCTATGTATCTCTGTGCGTCTCTATATGTCTCTATGTACCTCTATGTATCTCTGTGTGTCTGTGTGTCTCTGTGTGTCTCTGTGTGTCTCTATGTGTCTCTATGTATATCTGTGCGTCTCTGTGTGTCTCTGTGTGTCTCTGTGTGTTTCTCTGTGTCTCTGTGTGTCTCTGTGTGTCTCTGTGTGTCTTTGTGTGTCTCTATGTGTTTCTCTGTGTCTCTGTGTGTCTCTGTGTACCTCTATGTATCTCTGTGTGTATCTATGTATCTCTGTGTGTCTCTGTGTGTCTCTGTGTGTCTCTGTGTGTTTCTCTGTGTCTCTGTGTGTCTCTGTGTGTCTCTGTGTGTCTCTGTGTGTCTCTATGTGTTTCTCTGTGTCTCTGTGTGTCTCTGTGTACCTCTATGTATCTCTGTGTGTATCTATGTATCTCTGTGTGTCTCTGTGTGTCTCTGTGTACCTCAACAAAGCTGCGGCACCAGCGGCAGCTAGCGACATGAACAGAGCTTCATTGTATCTCTGTGTGTCTCTATGTGTCTCTATGTACCTCTATGTGTTTCTGTGTGTTTCTGTGTGTCTCTGTGTGTCTCTGTGTGTCTCTGTGCGTCTCTGTGTGTCTCTATGTGTCTCTGTGTGTCACTGTGTGTCTCTATGTGTCTCTATGTATCTATGTGTGTCTCTATGTGTCTCTGTGTGTCACTGTGTGTCTCTATGTGTCTCTGTGTGTCACTGTGTGTCTCTGTGTATCTCTGTGTACCTCTATGTATCTCTGTGTGTCTCTATGTATCTCTGTGTCTCTGTGTGTGTCTGTGCGTCTCTGTGCGTCTCTCTGTGTCTCTGTGTGTCTCTGTGTATCTCTATGCATCTCTGTGGGTCTCTATGCGTCTCTGTGTGTCTCTGTGTTTCTCTGTGCATCTCTATGTAACCTCAACAAAGCTGCGGTACCAGCGACACCTGGCGACATGGACAGAGCCTCTTTGTTGTCTCGGCGTTTGCGCCGACGTCGGCCAATCGGCGGCGGCGGCGCTCACCGCCGCCGCCGCCGATTGGCCGCTTGGCCGGCGTCACCGTCGAGGGTTGACGTTGCTGCCCAATTTGTGTTTCTGCCCCCAAAGCCCCGTCAAGTTCAACCCCCTCTCGGAGCCGTTCGCCGCTTGCCCCGCCGACGACCCCTCCTCCGCCTTGAACGTCGCCGGCGGAGGAGCTGGAGGAGCGGGAGGAGTTGGAGGAGGTGGAGCTGGAGGAGGAGCTGGAGCTGGAGGAGCTGGAGGAGTTGGAGCTCCTCCTCCTCGCTCCGCTAGCGGCAGGCCGGGAGGGAAAGCGCACCAAGATGGCCGAAGGGGGGCGTCGTCGGCGTCGAAGCACCGGCAGCACCACAGCCCCGGCCACAACTCCTCCGCGCCCCTCCCGATCAAACCGGGGAAGGCGGCCAATGGCTGAAACCTCGGGGCGGTGGGGGTGGCGGTGGGGGTGGCGGTGGGGGTGGTGTCGGGGGCGGGGGGCAGATGCCAAATCCGGGACGAAACGGAAAACAGAAAACTGTTGATTTAAGGCTTTTCGCGACTGCAGGGAATCACGTCCTTGGTTATTCCGGTAAAGTTCACCACCGCGTAGGAGGGGAGAGAATTAAAAAAATAAAAATATAAAACGATGAAATTCTCACGACGTTTTCGACTGCAACACAAGCAGCAGCGATCATCATCAGGTGTGAAAACCAGCACGTAGGAAAGGAAACAATAAAATAATAAAAATATAAAACGATAAAATTCTCACGACATTTTGACTGCAACAGCACCAGCAAATCATCGTCCTCGTCGTCGTCATCGGGTGTGAAAACCACAGCAAGAAAATGTAGGGGAGAAAAAAAACATTTAACGAGCGTGTGGATTGATGAATAAATGATGGTGTGTAAAAACAAAAATGGCCGACCCCCTCCCCCCAAACCCCCCCCCCTGCCCGTGTAAAGAAAAAAAATGGCCGTCATCCCGTGAACAAAATGGCTGCCCTCATGTAAAAAAAATGGCCGCCCCCACGTTAAACAAAATGGCCGCCCTCACGTAAACAAAATGGCTGCCCTCACGTAAACAAAATGGCTGCCCTCGCGTAAACAAAATGGCTGCCCTCATGTAAAAAATGGCCGTCATCCCGTGAACAAAATGGCTGCCCTCATGTAAAAAAAATGGCCGCCCCCACGTTAAACAAAATGGCCGCCCTCACGTAAACAAAATGGCTGCCCTCACGTAAACAAAATGGCTGCCCTCACGTAAACAAAATGGCTGCCCTCATGTAAAAAATGGCCGTCATCCCGTGAACAAAATGGCTGCCCTCATGTAAAAAATGGCCGCCCCCATGTTAAACAAAATGGCCGCCCTCACGTAAACAAAATGGCTGCCCTTACGTAAACAAAATGGCTGCCCTCACGTAAACAAAATGGCTGCCCTCATGTAAAAAATGGCCGCCCCCACGTAAAAAAAGTGGCTGCCATCCTGTGAACAAAATGGCTGCCCTTATGTAAAAAATGGCCGCCCCCACGTTAAACAAAATGGACGCCCTCATGTAAACAAAATGGCTGCCCTCACGTAAAAAATGGCCGCCCCCAAGTAAAAAAATGGCCGCCCCCACGTAAATAAAATGGCTGCCTCAATGGGGAAAAAAAATGGCCGCCTACATGACAATTAAAAAATGGCCGACTTCTTTTTACTTTACCGCTGGGGTGACCATTTTGTTTTCGAAGCTCAGGAAGCCCCCCCCCCCCAAACGCCGCGGTGGTGGGGCAAAAAAAGTTGTTTGGGGGTGGGTGGGGTGAGTGGGTGGGGGTGGGTGGGGTGGGTGGGGGATTTAACTTAAAAGACACAAAATAAAGATTAAGTGAACGGAGCTCCCGGCAGCTGTTGATTTGGTTGGACGGGACAGAGACCCACAGACTCACCACACACAGAGACCCATAGACTCACCACACAGAGACCCACAGACTCACCACACATAGACCCACAGACTCACCACACAGAGACTCATAGACTCACCACACAGAGACCCGTAGACTCACCACACAGAGACCCACAGACTCTTCACACAGAGACCCATAGACTCACCACACAGAGACCCATAGACTCACCACACAGAGACCCATAGACTCACCACACAGAGACCCACAGACTCGCCACACAGAGACCCATAGACTCACCACACAGAGACCCAGAGACTCACCACACAGAGACCCATAGACTCACCACACAGAGACCCAGAGACTCACCACACAGAGACCCATAGACTCACCACACAGAGACCCATAGACACATCACACAGAGACCCACAGACTCATCACACAGAGAGCCACAGACTCACCACACAGAGACCCATAGACTCATCACACAGAGACCCATAGACTCATCACACAGAGACGCATAGACTCACCACACAGAGACTCATAGACTCACCACATTGAGACCCATAGACTCACCACACAGAGACCCAGAGACTCACCACACAGAGACCCATAGACTCACCACACAGAGACCCATAGACACATCACACAGAGACCCAGAGACTCACCACACAGACCCACAGACTCACCACACAGAGACCCATAGACTCACCACACAGAGACCCATAGACACATTACACAGAGACCCATAGACTCACCACACAGAGACCCATAGACTCACCACACACAGACCCATAGACTCATCACACAGAGACCCACAGACTCACCACACACAGACCCATAGACTCACCACACAGAGACCCTTAGACTCACACAGAGACCCTTAGACTCACACAGAGACCCATAGACTCACCACACAGAGACCCATAGACTCACCACACAGAGACCCATAGACTCACCACACAGAGACCCATAGACTCACCACACAGAGACCCACCGACTCACCACATACCCATAGACTCACCACACAGAGACCCATAGACTCACCACACAGAGACCCATAGACTCACCACACAGAGACCCACAGACTCACCACACGGAGACCCATAGACTCATCACACAGAGACCCATAGACTCACCACACAGAGACCCATAGACTCACCACACAGAGACCCATAGACTCACCACACAGATACCCATAGACTCACCACACAGAGACCCACAGACTCACCACACAGAGACCCACAGACTCACACACAGAGACCCATAGACTCATCACACAGAGACCCATAGACTCACCACACAGAGACCCATAGACTCACACAGAGACCCATAGACTCACCACACGGAGACCCATAGACTCACCACACAGAGATCGATAGACTCACCACACAGAGACCCACAGACTCACCACACAGAGACCCATAGATTCACCACACAGAGACCCTTATACTCACCACACAGAGACCCATAGGCTCACACATAGAGACCCATCGACACTCACACACATAGACCCATAGACTCACACACACACAAAACCATAGACTCACACAGAGACCCATAGACTCACCACACAGAGACCCATAGACTCACCACACAGAGACCCATAGACTCACACAGAAACCCATAGACTCACCACGCGGAGACCCATAGACTCACCACGCAGAGACCCATAGACTCACCACACAGAGACCCATAGACTCACCACACAGAGACCCATATACTCACCACACAGAGACCCATAGACTCACCACACTAAGACCCATAGACTCACCACGTAGAGACCCATAGACTCACCACACGGAGGCCCATAGACTCACCACACTGAGACCCATAGACTCATCACACAGAGACCCATAGACTCGCACAGAGACACATAGACTCACCACACAGAGACCCATAGACTCACCACACGGAGACCCACAGACTCAACACACAGAGACCCACAGACTCAACACACAGAGACCCATAGACTCATTACACAGAGACCCACAGACTCACCACACAGAGACCCATAGACTCACCACACGGAGACCCACAGAATCACCAGAGACCCATAGACTGGCATAGATTTTAGATTGATCACTCTTTAGAACCGCTGCTTGTGGTTGTTGTTGTGGTTGAAGTGGTTGTTGTGGTTGTTGTGGTTGTTGGTGTGGTTGTTGTGGTTGTTGTTTTTAGGACTTTGTTGTTCTTCCCACCACTGCACCTCCCGATTAGGGCGGTCGGCTACGTCCGGTGTGACAAACACAACAACAACCGCCATTCGCCACTAAGTGGCGGTGATGTCACCACGACGCTTGTGCCAGGCTATGTGCACCCTGAGGCCACGTGAAGTGTCGAACGCCTGCTGGCAGGAGGTCACGGGGCAGACCCAGCAGGTGCCACGGGTCGACTGACTGAGATGACTGGCTGATGCACCACCTGTGCCCCCTACTGTGGCAACCTGCTGTGCTTTAGCCACCCGGCGCTCCGCTCGTTGTTCTGAGCGTCGCTCCTCCGCCCTCCGTTGTTGTTGGAGGGCGACTGCCTCCAACTGCCCAGTAGCATCCTTCACGAGCCTCCTCCACAGAGGCCGATCTTGACACCGCTGGTACCGGTTATCGGCAAGTCCACTCAGCTCCACGTCCTCCTGTACCACGTCACTCCATCTCTTCTCTAGCCCGTGCCGCGCCCGTTTAGCCCCTTCGATCCGGCCGAACAAAAGCTGTTTCGGCATGCGGTGGCTGGGCATGCAGGCTACATGACCCAGCCATCGCAGCCTAAATGTTTATAACCGGCGAAGATGTGGCCGAGAAGACCTGAAGCTTAGTGCGGAGCGACAGACCAGGTAGCATTCACACAGTGTTACGCAACCGATGAAAAGATATTGCCGCTCGACTGATTCGGAGTGAGACCTCTGCTGTTAAACTGGAGCCGGTCATAAGCACACTGCTCAGGTATGGGAAACTCTCCACTCTCTCCACAACTGCCCCATCACCGATTGGGAGTTGTGGGGGTGGAGTGTCCAATGGTACAAAATACCCAGGCAGGTGCTTAGTTTTGGTGGGGCTGATGGTAAGGCCCCACCTCTTAGTGGTACGCTCCAGTCTCAGCAGCAGCGTTTCCAACTCCTCCTCTGTAAGAGAGCCTGTCAATGTAAGAGACTGGCATGTCAATGTAAGAGAGAGACTGGCGTGTCAATGTAAGAGACTGGAGTGTCAATGTAAGAGACTGGCGTGTCAATGTAAGAGATTTGCGTGTCAATGTAAGAGGCTGGCGTGTCAATGTAAGGGACTGGCGTGTCAATGTAAGAGAGAGACTGGCGAGTGTCAATGTAAGAGATTTGCTTGTCAATGTAAGAGAGAGACTGGCGTGTCAATGTAAGAGATTTGCTTGTCAATGTAAGAGACTGGCGTGTCAATGTAAGAGACTGGGGAGTGTCAATGTAAGAGGCTGGCGTGTCAATGTAAGAGACTGGCGTGGCAATGTAAGAGGCTGGCGTGTCAATGTAAGAGACTGGCGTGTCAATGTAAGAGAGAGACTGGCGTGTCAATGTAAGAGGCTGGTGTGTCAATGCGAGAGAGACTGGCGTGTCAATGTAAGAGAGAGACTGGCGTGTCAATGTAAGAGACTGGCTTGTCAATGTAAGAGAGAGACTGGCGTGTCAATGTAACAGACTGGCGTGTCAATGTAAGAGAGACTGGCGTGTCAATGTAAGAGATTTGCGTGTCAATGTAAGAGACTGGCGTGTCAATGTAAGAGAGACTGGCGTGTCAATGTAAGAGGCTGGCGTGTCAATGTAAGAGGCTGGCGTGTCAATGTAAGAGAGACTGGCGTGTCAATGTAAGAGACTGGCGTGTCAATGTAAGAGATTTGCTTGTC